CAGCAGAAGCAACTGCTATCCGGTTGAGGAAGCCGATTCTGTTTGCGCAAAAATAACAGATCATCCGCCACAGAATGTTCGCTCCACCATAAGTTGCTTCACGCGCAGATCACGAATATTGTCGCCTAATTCGGCTTAAATGCGGTATATAGAAAGTCAATGTTTAGTAAGCCGATTTCTATAAGTCCTTTCTAAATAGGCAGAATTCAGTAGAAACATTGCTTTCCGTGTGCATAACGCGTGGTTTCACCACTTGTCCCTGTTTTATGATTCTTGTCAGTTTTGCACCCGATTGTCGTCCCCTCCTCCATGTTTAAACGAAACTATTACGTTTTCCACATCAGTGTTTTCCACAATCACCATTTGTAATTTCTGCTGAGTTCCCAAGTGCATCTAGCTAAAATGTCTAGACCTCGATGTCAGGTCAATTACTAAGCTTGGACCTGTGCATATCAACTGACTAACGTTCATTGAAGGTAGATTTCACGGTCTGGAGGTGTTGCTTGTTGCCACTATAAATGTAGTCATACCTATTCCTGAATGAGCAATACGTGCTATGTAATTCGCTTGGCTTAAACAATCTTGCTCATCTTCAGGTAAAGACCTTTACTACTCCGGATTCTGCCGACGAAATCTGCTCGGTGGTCCAGAATAAACTAACTTTGATATATCTGGATGACACCAAAACTGACAAGGTCAGGGGCCACAGCTTTCGATTTTGCGCTTGTCATGCCGCTTGTGATTATCAGGATGGTTTGATTTATTTCAAAAACAAAATGCTTACATAACATTGTTTATCAACTTGATTCAAAAGCTATGATTTCCGGTTCCACGCTCTCCTACTTTTTTGGCTTTTGGGCTTTGGCATACCTCATAGACGCAGGGCTTTCAGTCCACCCATTTACAAAACAGCGTTACCTTGAATTGAGAGGCCGATCTGGTATCTCTATTCAGGTCCTCCAGGCTCGGTTCTTCACACAAAAATTGAACCCTTTCTTCCACCGCCTTGGGAATGTTGACTGGTTTCCTTGGGGCCTTTGGTTTTCTATCGGTACAGCTTTTTCAGCTATCTTCATGTGTCTGAGCGTCGTTGTGCTTTCTCTACTGGCCTATAACACCGTCATGCGCAAGCCCATTGAAAAACAAATTATAACTCCCGTGGTAAGTCATTAGTTTTTTATGTCCTCACGAGGAATACTGTGGTTAAGCGCTATATTCCTCGCGAGCACGACACACTTGTCGTTATGGGTCTATTATAAAGGTGATTTAGGCACTTACGTAACAGTAGACA